TATTAATAGACGAGATAGCAAGCTAAATATCTGCTTCTTTTGAATGTAATTGAGTAATTTGGTGTCGAGCCATTGTATGTGAAGAGATGAGAGGTGCGCAAAGTTGGTGGGGTGCGTCACTCGCTTGTACGCGTCACTCGCTTGTAAACTACGTTATACATAATACAAACAAGTTTCTCACTACTGGATGCGGAAAAAAGGCGACTCAGTTCATCTCAGTGTGGGAGGATAGACAGCGAATCAAGCGGCAGATGGTGCACATCAGTACCTGCAGAGGTATGCACGGGTATCGAGTTCCGCCAAAAGCAATCGTAGTGCAGCACAGCCGGATGCTCCATTCGGTTGCACCGACATCGGAAATCGCGGCCCACTCCATGTTTGTACATCGATACGTACGTACGTATGCATGTTGGATCCATGTAAGTAAGTAAGTACTCAATATGAAGGACCAGGCAAAGTTCCACCCGTGATCAACACGACGCTTATCAGACGGGTGGCTTGATGACAAGCTTCACGCACGCTTGCGCCAGCCATGACTCACTTGGAAAGAAAGAAAAAAGCCACGAGCAACCATCGTGAAGTATGCTGGACACCGATCAACAAAGACTAGAATGCATGCGGCGCCACCGTCGCTTAAAGGGGAGGGGAGGGTGTAAGGGAGAGCCGGCGGAACCGCACAAGGGCAGGCATCATCGTGTCTACAAGAAGCAGAAGGCAAGTACACCATGTGCGGTTGGCAAGACGGTGCTAGGCCCAAGCTCCCTCGCCCAGCAGCGGATGACCCTTGACGGTGAGAATAGTGATGAAAAGATAAATACGGCGAGCGCGGTAAGGCAGGACGGTGCGTCGGACATAAGCGAGCATTTTATACGACTATTTGAGATCGATTGGTCGCAAGCGTAGGTAGTATGCGTAAGTATCTAAGTAGTGTAGTCATTCGAGTCGGTGAGCATCACTGGGTAGGGGGGGGGTGTGGTGGTGGTGGTGGTGCACTGAGAGGGGGGCGAATTGTGCCACCTTGCGGTCCTAAGGGCTTGGGGATGATGTTGCGGGCAGGGCACCCAGGAATGCAGCGCGATTGATTGATTTGGACGCTTTTGTGAGCGGCTACCCGCCGCACTGGACCAGAAGCGATCGGTGAACCTTCTTCTCGTTCGCATGTTTCCGGTCTAGAACGTGAGCCAACCAGAAGGCCAAAAATACGGATTTGTCACGGGCGTGAATGGACGCACGTAGACAGCAGGATGAATTGGAAGGATGGTATGTGTGCGGGCGAAATGTATATGCGACACGGACCAGAGCCAGCGTTACAGCATGTTGGAGTACCTCGTACTACTAGGGAAGTTCGCCAGGCACGGAGAGAGCGAGAAGAGATATGCAGGTGGTGTAGGGTAGCGGGAAGAGAGGCCGGTAAGACGCGTCTGCGGGAATCCTTCAGAACGGCAGCGTGGCACGGCAGCGACGTGACAATGGGCCATGGTCTCATCAGTTGCGACAAACGCTGATTGTTAAGCATAAGAGAGGGCAGCAGAGAGAGAGACAGAGTGCGGAAGATAGGCGCACGGAAACGGAAGCATCAGAGTTCCAGCCAATGGCAGGGCCTTCGCAGACCATCTCTTGTCTGGGCTTTAGCGCGCAGCAGTTGGAGCGGGCGCGTGATATGCTTTGATTGAAAAGAAGGCATCCGCTTAGACGCATGTGTAGTAAGTAATGTAGTTATGCGAGTCGTCGGGTTCGCAATGGCGTGTTCCAGGGCGTAGGATGTTATTTTTTTTATGCAGTAGCGTCCAAGCTGCATAAGCAGGCGTGAAGGAGCGTGTACTCGAGTACATGTGAGCACATGTACATGGATGGACACGTGAGGGAGCGAGTAAGAGAGCACGATAGTGGGAGAGGGAAGAGTGAGTGTGTGGGCTAGAAGCGAACACGAGCGCGTTTCCGTGCTGCCTGTCATTGGAATTACATGAGAACAAAGTTAGTTGGATACGCTATACTGCAAGCGGACTAGCGCACAGCGTCGCTTGAGCACACGCCCGCGCGACTCCCCGTGCACATGGCTAACCGCCAGCCACGACGACTCGACACTAGCCAAACCGTTTCGACATGTGCGCGTGTTCCAGGACGGGAAAAGAAGTCCTACTTTGAGAACGACGATCTGTTCCTGAGCATTCGGTCTAACCGGCAGTCGCTTGCCGGGCGAGGGACGAAACATAGCGCGGTTTTGCGGAGTCGGTCCGATGGCCACAGTGGGAGAGAGCGCAAGACAGTGAGGTGGAGCATGGGTGGATGATGAGCTGGAAGGAACCGCGACGTGGGATGGCATCATGTCCATGGCTGGCATGGCATGAGCCAGTATACTCGCCACTCCAAGTACTGCCACCAGATGAGCCCACCAGACTCGCTGCCCACGCGCCAGGAGCGCTCTGTTCCGCCCTGGCGAGCATTAGTCTGCTTGCCTTGCCATGCCAGCCAAGGCCAAGTCACTTGGAGCCAGCCCGCCGCCATTCATCAATCCACTCGACGACAATGCTCATGCTTCACCGGCTGGTCATTGATGGCTGGCTGTCTCAGCCCAGGTGCGTGCGTACCCGCCATCTGCCTCAACGTCCGCTAACACACATACTTTGGATCGTTGTCCATGAGACCACAAACAACATACGACAAGTGGCACGACCAACAACGTGCTAATTTTTTTTGCTCCTTCCCATTTACCTACACCCACCGGAAGATTGTCTAAAACCTAATAGTGCTCACCCGCCCCCCAACTGACATGCCTAACCCGCCCTATCCATCAACTGCCATCGCGAAAACACCATATTGGATCGATCCGTCGTCTATCTCATCATGCCAAGTGCTTCCGAGATCATGGCAGACCTAATCATTTCTCTTTCTATTTGTCTACTTTGTAGTACTGGGCCCGGCGCATGTCACCGACCTCCTGTAACCACCAAGAACACTAAAGGAAGTCGCCGTTGTGCTGACCCAATCGACACACGTCTAGAATGATCCCAAGACGAAAAGGGCTTTCCGCAAGGCTTACCCGTCCCACCTCATAGTACTTAGTAGTAGTACCATATGCCCAGAACCAGGCCCAGGGTTCGTCATATCGTCTCTCTCACTCTCTCCAAAGTGCGGAAAACTCGAACCAGGGTTTCCCTTACGCCCCCTAGTCCCCTCACGCAAGCCCCCCCCTCCCCAGCCCACCCCCACCCCTGACCTGTCAGTGATATCACCTCAGAGGAAGCTTTTGCGAATCTTGCAAAAAAAAAAATTAGCAAAGAAGGGGAGCGAGCGAGGGCAGGCAGGAAAAAAACGCTCCGACGTTAGACGGGCCGACCCCAGAGATAAAGCTTGAGACACTTTCGACGTGAACCGTGCAATTGGTATCCAAAGGGGGGGACAGTGACAGCCCTGTTGAAGCCCAATGGGGGGTTGCGAGTCAGGCCAGGTGTTGCATGTTGAAGCGCGTCACGTGGCATTCGCCATCAACAACGTGTTTCGTGACTTGGGCGGCATGGTAAGCGGGTTTGGCGTTAGCTTGCGCGTTAGTGTGCCGGACATGGTGGTTGCACTATCCCCTTCGTGTCTCGCCAGTTCACAATCGTCATGCACATGTGATGGATTTTCGAAAAACATTGGAACGCGTGTACATTTGACTAGGTATGCTTGGACGCTCTGGTTTTTTTTCCTCTCCCCCTTCTCTCTCGCATACTAGAAACCCATTCCCTCGGGTCTCTTCCGCCTCCCTCTTGCTCCTCTCACTCTTGCCTTATTTGTTGCCTTGTACGCTGTTCGGCAACCTCCGAACTCGTACTCGCAATAACAACGTACCGGGATCACCGTCATCATGCATGTTTGCGGAGAGCGCGGAACAAGCACAGCCGCACTCGACCTGCCACCATCCATGCCATGTCAAGCCCCAGGATCCTAGTAACCACCTCAACTGTCTCGCTGCCACGATCAACCATGTTGGCCCCAAGATTTCCAAGCACGTAATGTGCCTACGGTTTTGTAATCTTCGTGTTCGAGAAGGCTGACCATGCCATGGATGTGGTACTGTCGCAACTATTGCCCTGCCTGCGCCATCGTCAAAGAGGCATTGCGGTACGACGCTTCATCCATGTGATGCCTGCTTTCTTCTCGCATCGACTTTCCACACCAAGCCCTGACCTCATCCAACACGCACGTGCGATATCCCCCCGTCTCATCGTTTTTTTTAACATCGGAAGGACTACCGGGAGATAGTCGTTCGTTGCTGGCCTTGCGAGCTTGGTGGCTTGGTAGCCCTGAATCGTAGGATTTCAGTCTTGGACCCTGGTTCCGGACGCGTTTGGTGGATTCTGACAGGTCGCTTTCAAAACTTGGTTCCAATTTTTTCTGCAAATGTGCTCTTGTCGTTGCTTCAATCACTCGAAATTGCTTTGGGTGGTCTCCGTGCGGAAAGTTGAACACAAAAAATTGAATGGGCCAAAACTATACCCTACTACCAAATATACATGGGCCTGTGGCCTGGGGACAAGGAAAAAAAGATATGCTCTGTTGGACTTCATGCTCTGCTTCTGGACGTCCATAAAATCTATTGCTTGTACATCATGGGATCCACAGGGTAGTTTTGGATGGAAAACCTGGGATCGTATCCTGTTGCATTGACGCCCATCTGGTGGTTTTGCATATGGCTATGCGATGTGGGAATCTGCATGTTGCTGTGTCCTACAATTTGCGACCGTGACTGTGACATGGGCGCTTCGTATGGACCAGGTGTCGTCGAGGTGCTTCTGTTGGCAGTGCTCGTTGAATGTGAAGTGTTGTGTGAGGTGTCGTACAGCGACAGATCGCCGACGTGGGTGGTGGGGGCAGGAATCATGGATTGCTGAGTCGTGTTGAAGGGAAGTTGGGCACCAGTTTGAGCGGCCAGCCGTCGAATGAGATCGTTGGAATGGTACGAGGGCGAAGATGAGGCGGGACTTGCCGAAAAGTCTTCGGCGACGTTGGAGGGAAGGGTCCCCGAACCAGTAGCATTAAGGCCGAGCGTCGATGCGGGAACCGTCTGGGGGAGGTTTAGGGATCGGGGAAGCGGTAAATTGGGCAGGACTTCGGAGAGTTTGGCCAGTAGGAGAGGAAGATATCGCGACTGTCCTCCGCGCAATGTCGAGATGAGTGTCAAGAACCGCGATACGTAGTCTCGAGGTCCAAGGGCAAACGCGTCTGGTGAGAAGGATGTGCAAGCGACCACGTCAGTCAGACAACAGGCTATGTCGAACAACTTCTCGATCTGCAATCCTGTTAGCTAATGACTGACCTGACAGATAGGGTAAAACGTTGCAAGGGTGGGATGTGCAGGGACGACCAGGGGGGTGAGGTCGAGGGGGGGCTAAGCTAGTCAGGGCGTGGACGTCAGAGATAGACGTTGGCTAGCGCGGCCCTAGTAAGATCGCAATATGACAGGGATCTCTGCACGAGACGGAGGGGCTGGAGCGGGGATGAACTCCAATGTCAAGACAGGAACAAGCATGCAAAAGAAAATGAATCTACTTACCAAGCCGACGCCGTGGACTTCCATGGATTGCTGCGAGAATTGGTGTGAGATTGTGAGCAGATCGCGGGCGATTTCGATCGGGTACTTGAATGTGAGCGGCACGTCATTCGAGACGCTGCTTACGAGCCCTTGACAAACACTGAGCTGCCAGGTCTGCGACTTCAGCCACTGCTGAGTGATACGAATTTGCACCTCTTGCGCCTCGCTGCATTCGAAATATGCAGGCACGGCCTCTGAAAGCTGCGTTTGCACCTGCGTTATCCACGCAGCGCTCACATGTGTGTTGTGTACCCGATTCCACAGGTTAATAAAGGTGTCGTCGATAATCTTGAACATGTTGATCATAAGTTCCAGTCCAACCGCAATTGGCCGATCCGTGGGTACTTCATCTAATTGAGGAGGATGTATGGTGGGGTGTAATGTGATAGGTCGGTGTTTGTGTAGAGCGTAGGTTCTGTCAAATCGTTAGAAAAATTTGGGAACAAAGACAGAAAAGTCCAGAGCGCGTGTGGACATACCGTTCGGCGATGAACAAAAGCCAGTAGAGGACGCGCTTTCGGGATACATCCAAGGGATCGTGTTTGTACGTCTCCTCATCGTGCATGCCCAGCAGTTGCGCGTGTGTTGTGGCTTCCCGGAGATATGTCCAGGCTGTGTTCTCTCGCGCCAGTCCAAAGTAGCAGCCACTGTAAAACCACGAGGTAAGCACGCTCGTGTGCGTGGGGTTCTCGCGGTGGTCGTAGCCTTGTCGCACGCGGACTGATTCCTCTAGGAGTATGTGACCAACACCGACATTTGACATGTGAGCCATCTCTGGACGAGGGAGCACGCTGACGGGTGGCTTGTGGTTGGCCTGAATCATGACGTATGCACACAGTGCAACAATCATACAGTACGATTCAGTGGAGCGGTCCATGCCAACGGCTGCTTCCTGCGCCCTTTGGCGGTGCAGGACAGGCTCTGAGGGGTAGACATGGTTGAAAAAGTATTCTATGCAGCTCTCGACGAGAGCGGGGGGTAGCAGCCCTTGGGTGCGGGCAAATGTGGCGGGCAGTGAGCGTCCGTCAAAGCCGAGATCGGTTGGGTAACCAGCAGCGAGCTGAGCGTTGCGCTGGGTTTCGCGGAGTTCAGAGAGGACTTTGGCGCGGCTGCCCTTGGGACCTTTCTTTTGCGGGATGGCATTGTATGTGCATGCAAGGCCAGCAGAAACGCAATTCTTGCATGGCGCGGTGCCTTCTCCGATGCACTTGACCTTTCTTCGGTGGCAGCTGTAGAGGGCGGCAGTGTGAGTGTGGGAGCATCGACGTTGAGTGTACCGACGGTACGTACCTATCGCAGGCTCGCTTGACCGGAGCAGTCGAGGTAGGATTGGAAGCCATGAGGGAGTGACAAGCTAGTGTGGGAACGTCTCGTCATCTACTTGATGAGGAATGCAGTCGCCGAGCGGATCCGCTGGTTCCTTTTAGTACAACAGACATGTTGCGCCTACATTCGGGGAGATACCGTAGAAGGTTCCTTGTGTCATTGTGCTTGAATGAACGCTCATTCGCACCTGGTTAACCTGGACGATTGAAGAGCCCAAGCGTCGAAAGTGCATATTAGACTCAACTAGTTAGCATCACTGGACCAGCCGGGATGGGGCTTGAGGCTTGCGAGTCCAATGATCTAGCCTGGAGAAGCGGCCTGAGTCCCTGGTTCCACGGACTGGGGAAGGAGTCTGCAGGGCAGCGCGTCGGAAGCCGGTTTAACGCTTACCACACGGCCACAAGCCATGGGCTTAGGCGGTCTGCTGGCTGGACCATGCTTGGAGAAACATCCTGGGCTGACCGCTGGGCATGCGGCAGCGATGGCACGGTCGGTTCCTGCCAGCGACGGGAGCTTCATGTTAGTGTGATTTTAGGGCGACCTGTAACTGGCCGAGGTTGCCCCGCTGGGCAAGTAGCCCGTAATGGATGTCCTGGGTTGTTGCGATATTTTTCCCGAACATCGAGAAGGCTCAAGTCGCGGTATCAAAAAGGTGCTGAGTCCCCTCGCCCTGTCGGTAGTGCAGCGCAGTGCAGCTTGCCCTGGTCCACCACCACTACCACCACAGCAGACGCCCTGCTCATCCGCGCGCAAAGGGGAACGTCACAATCTCATTTCGCCGTGGAGTGTCAGACGCTGCGCAAGTGCCTAACAAGAAACATAGGCTGAAGTTAGAACTGACCACCTCACTCCCTGACTGATGAACCAGCACACGCTGCTTGGGCAGCGTCCGTACAATGGGAGAGGCACGGGTTGATAACGCCGACAACGGCTTGCTCCATTGTCGAGGTTTTGTGTGGCGACATGGGGCCGTCGATACTTGCCGTAGTTGTCGTCATGCAACCCAACAAGTCGACGTAGCTCAAAACCACCTGACATGGAGAGACGCTCGAGTGTGCTGGACGTGTACGTAGTGCGTAGTAGCAGGAGCAACCATGAATCGATCGTCTGTGTATTGTACGTATCAGACGAGGAGCTGCTGTCCACCGAGGCGCAGCAGCCCTCGCCTCTCGTTTGGTAAAGAAGCCCGGCAAAGATCCTTGATGGGCATAGCCAGCCGCCGGGCGAGGAGAGGTCTCATAGGGTCGCCGCGTTCCGTTGCTAGGCGTCGTTCGAACATTGTTTCTCTCTGTCTGTCTGTATACGGGACTGCGGACCCAAAAAGGTCAGTCGCGCCGCTGCGGGGCTGTCCTGATAACTTATATCTTCTTCTCTAAAGGGCCTTTTGCGGTCTCCACCATCCGATCGCGACAGTCAAGCTTCCGAGATGCTGCCGGCAGCGATCAAAATTGGTACAGGACCGTCGAGACCACGAATGGGAGAGGCTGGACCCGCCTCCAGAAGTAGTGCTGCCACCGTCCGGTTACGTTTACGCTAGACGTCACGGCGAATAGAATTTGCAAAAGGCGCGAGAAGTCCTGAAAGACCGCCCGCGTTGTGTACATTTGCATGTACGTATAGTCATGGTGTTGAGGCTTTGTAGATCCGGGGAACTGGCGACATGTACCTCCCTCGCTCATGCTTCGCTAGCGGCTGCGCCCGTGGTAAGATTCGTGATGCTTGGCATCTCTTCCGCGGAGCCCAACGTCACCCGTTACTCCTCTACACACTGCACTCTTGACAGTTGAAGTATCTCTATCTGCAATTCAAGGGCGGTGGGTTGCTTTTGGGCTGCCCAATCCAGACTACTCTGCTCACTGGCGCTTCATGCAACCATTACCGCCCCGCGTCGCCGCTAGCATTCCAAAACATCGTCTCATGATCGTCTTGAACCCCTTCACCACATGGCTGATGTGCTGTAAGGGTATGCATTGCTCAACAGGCGAGTCATGAACGGGAGGGAGCGTTGGAACCCAAATATACGCTGTCACCTATGAATAGCAGTGACATTGCCGCGTCTCCCTACTTGACATGCATCGGCCGCCTTGCACTACACCGACTACTCATATCCTCGTGTCATCCCGGGGTCGGGCAATCTATAGCCTCAGGCGAACCCTCTCTGTACTGATAGCAGGTGTGTATCTAATCTCTGTGTCGGTTGGGACAATTGCTTCTCAAGTGTGCCGTTTTTATTTGTCCGTACAGCTATCAATGACTGGATTCCGGTCACCGATAGATGCCACACACGACTACAGCAGAGACTTTTTTTTTACGTCAACCCCACCCAAAAAAAACGCCTTCCTTT